TGTAATTTTGATATGCTCACCTTCTTGAGATGTCAAAGCTAATTTAAAAAGTTGTTTTGGCCAGCATTATTATTTTGATTTTGTTGTTGTGGTGGAGGTTGGTTATTATTATCTGGGGGTTGGTTATTGTTATTTGGAGATCGGTTATTGTTATTATTATTAAAAGGTCGATTATTTCGATTATTGTTGTTTCGATTGTTGTTAGAGTTATTATTTCTATTATTGTTATTATAACCATTGTTATTGTAATTATTATTATTCCTCCAATTTTGGTTTGTTCGACAATTTCGAGCAATATGTCCTATTTGATTACAAGTATTGCAGATAAGAGCTCTGCATTGTGCAGCAAAATATTCAGGTTTACCACAGCGGTTACAGTCATTGTTTCTTCGATTATTGTTATTATTATAATTATTATTGTTATTGTGATTGTAATTATTATTTCGGTTATTATTATTGTTTCGATTATAATTGTTATTTTGATTATTGTTTGACAAGGGTTGACTTTGCTTTAAAGTCAATTGTTCTAATATTTGTTGGGTTGCAGCAAATAATTTTTCATTCACTATATTTTCAACTGAAGATTGAGAAGTATTATTGTATTGATTAAAATATTGAGGTTGGAAATTAGTTGGCAATAAGGAGTAGGCTAATAATATTCCTCCTCTTGAGAAAGCATTTTCAAGAGCTTTAGCTCTATTAATAGCTTTATTCAGAGTAGTTGACATAGCTGATTCTACTGGGATATGGAACTCCTGTTGCAGGCCATCAATAAACTGCCTTATTTTATTAGTATCTGGGTATAAATTTGTTGGATCTACTTTTCTCTATAGTTTCTCTAAAGCTGCATTATATTCTTTAACAGTTTCTTTTAATTTTTGTTTTCTTGATCGGAGAGAATAGAACCACTGATTCACTCGGTGTGAATTCCTAAATTGCCTTTCAAACAATACTTTAAATGATATATCCCTATTGTATTGGTGGTCATTATTGTACCAATAAACAAAGTTAGCCCTGTTTTGATTATACCAGGTAAGAGCAATACCTTTTAGAAAATTAGGTACTATAGCCAACTTCCTAGGATTAGTAATGTTGTTGGTATCACAAGCTCTTTCAAAAGATTTAATCCAAATAATAAGATCATCATCACCACCTTTAAATGTTGGTATCTCAACAATCCTTTGTTCTCTGGGCTGGGCAGAATTTGTAAGAAAAACATGAGCAAAACTTTCAGTTAAACTTGTGGTTAATCCATTTAAAACTTGTCGTATCAAGGCTTCTTCTCTGTCTTCTGGTTGAGGTAATATTTCTTCATCTCTATCTCTTTCCTGTCTATAATTTGAAACTCGAACTTCTCTAGTTTCATTAACTGAAGTATCACGAATATTTAAAGTACTCATATTATCATTTCGTGGTCCCTCTAGTCGATCTTCATCTCTACTATGACGACTTGTAGTAGGTCGATATCGCTCCTCAACAAGTATTTGTCGTATTTGACTACTTGAAGTAGTTGCTCGTAGTTGTGATTGACTCATTGTAGATAATTGTTGAATAATTGTATTTATATTTTGGATTTCTTCTTCTATTTGGTTTTGATATTCCTTAAACTGTTTTTCTCTTTCAGATGATGTTGGAGAATTATTATCCTCTACTTCTGATTCAGGACTAGAATTAAAATTTAATTCAGACTGTATTTGAGGTGTTTCTACTGTGAAGTTTTGAGTTTTTTCAAACTTTTTTAAAAGTTCAGTATTAATTTGATCAAATTCCTTATTAGGGTACTATTATAATATCGTACTGAAACTAGTATTGTTTTGATGAAAATTTCTCTTTCCCTATCACTATCAGCTAATATAGTATTTTGAAAGGACTCAAGAGTATTAGAAGTGATAGTATAAGCGTTATATTTTACTCTATACCAATCTCAAAATTTTAAAAAGTTAGCAGATAAAATTTGTTGTGCTATTAAATGACAAATTGGACAACTAATATCAGGCCTTTCCTGGTATTTTTGTTGGGTAAGATAACAATTTGAATCGTGTAAAAAGTCGTATGCTTGAATTTGTAATTGATATTTTCGAATATTCATACAGATTTAATAAAAGTAAGTTGAAAATCTGTGAAGTTTTCTATATCTGAACAATTCTTTTATTCTGTCAGATGAGTAAATATTATTATTTACTTCTTGTTCGTATAGCTTCAAGTTGGCACACTGAGCTAGGGTATAGGTTTGAGGTTGTTGTTGTTGAATTTTAGATTGTAATTGATAAGGTATACCTTGTGGATTATCAATATTAAGTAGCTCCAGATAATAGTTAGGTTGTGTAGTAGATATATTAAATCCTGGTTCAATTATACGACCGTTATCCCAAAGATCTTCAGAGAGAGGTTGAGAACATTTATTTTCCCAACGAAATCCACAAATTTTTGAATAGGAAAATAATAAATCAGTTTGTTGTGAAGTTAAAGAAGAACCAAATTGTAGTTGTGCAATAGCAAGTTTAAGTTTTTCAGTTAAGTCAGAGTATTCCTCATTAGTTGGAATACAGTTGAGATATTTTCAAAGAAAATTAAAATAGTGTTGAGAGAAGGGTTGTATATAGTTTGTAAAAAAAAAAATTATCAATATAGTAAAAAGAAAATAATAAAGAAGTCCAGGACACTGTTAACCTAGATAGGATTAACTTTATAACAGATTTTTAAAAGAGTTTAAAAAAAATAAAGAACAGGTGTTTAACGAAATTTAATTCAATAGCCTCCTAAGGCACTATAAGGTTTTTGCAATAGGTCAATTTTTGGGATAGCACCTATTGTCCTTTGTGTGCGGCCTAGTATAACACAAAAATGTTTGCCCTTTACAAGGAGTATTAACCACTAGAACTTAAAGATATTCTAAGATATAATTAGAGGAAATAGTACTAATACTCAGACCGTCAACAACTATATATGGCCTTGAATTTCAAATAATATATAAAATATATTATTTAACAAGAAAGAGAATATTTAAACTAATTAAAGAAAATAAAAAGAAGTAAAGAAAATAAAAAAAAAGCTATCCTGTATAGATGATAAATAGCAAGAAAAGAAGATTTTAAGAAGAAAGTTAAGAAAAATTTAAGAAAAATTTAAGTAGAAAAAAGCTAAAAATCACAAAAAAAAAAAAAAAAATAACAGTTTTGGGTCCTGTCGTTGTCACCAAAACTGTAATATGCTTGCTTGGCTTAACTAAATAATGAATATTATAATAATAAAATATGTCGTCACCAGTTAAGTCAAACAAATATTTTACTTGACTTAACGTTTAAGAGTAGTTAAGGAATGTTTTAAACAAGAAAAATAAAATTAAAGCCTAAAACTAAATAAAAATACTATCAAATAACTAATCAAAAATCAAAAATAAATAAATTTACTCAAGTATAAACCAAAAATATCAATAGAAAAACAATAATTTTACTATAAAATTCAATAAAAACACAATAAACCCACTATAAACATGTTATAGAATTATAGTTTATTACTTAATAAAATACAAAATAAAGAGGCTTTTTCACAAGAAAATAATTAAAGAGAAGAGTTAAATATACCCAAAAATGATGAAATAAATATTTAGAGCATGTGTTTCTTGTCTCTCTGCCTTGGGGAAAAAGGCAGGGTTTATATAAAATAACGACAGGTAATAATGCTGTAAAATAACGATATAAATCATTGTAATTATACTATATACTACTATTTAAGTCGCTATAATGTAATTCTAATGCTAAAAATAGTTACAATAATAATAACAATAGAAAATAATACCGTAAAATAATGCAGTATAATAACGCTATAAAATAACGACAGAAAATAATGCCATAAACTATATAATAATACTATAGCTTCTAAAATTAGTAATACGACTAAATGATTATTAATACATCATTTTAGAAGGTCCTGGGGCATTGTATATACTTGTATTACTTGTGTAGCCTTGGTTTGTACTTCCTTATGTTGAACAAACTATCAATTTACATATTAAAGCAAATATTGCTTTAAATGGAATTCTGTAAAAAGTATACTAATAAAATATGTAATAAACTATTGTATAAACGTTTAAAATAGATAAAATATACTATAAACTATGTAAATATACTAATAAAATAATAAATATAAGAAAATATATAATAAAATTTAAGAGAAAATATAAGAAAAATGTTATTAAAAATGCGGTTATATTATAGTGTGAACATGAAAATATTACAGTTTATCATAAATGTAAACGTGTTTTAGATATTTTTATTGAGAAAGATTTGTTTTATTATATTAATCATTATTTGAAAAAAAAATATAACTTTAATTAATGTCCAGATTGTAATATTATTAGTGTAAACAAACCAAATGAAAAATGTTATCATAAAATTAAATGTCAATATATTAAATATAATAAAATTTAAATTTTAAAGTAATCTATATAAATAAAATATATATAAAGATGTTAATTTTTTTTTAATCAGTAGAAAAACAAAAATGAGTGATTATCAAATTTATCATACATTTGCTGTAAAATATCATTGTTTACCATGTAAAAAAAAATTTAAATGTATTAAAACTAAAAATAAAAAAGATATACAGTCTCGTGAAGATGAGTTTAAAAAAACTGGTACCCAATTTGTAAATTATGTCAAGTTCAACATTGGCATTGTTTAATTGATACTTGTACAAATTGTTGTTTATTAAATAAATATAATAATATTATATGTGATTATTGTAAAGCAAATAATATTGAATGTAAGCGAGTTGTACTAACAACTTAAGAAGCTTATGATAAAATTAAAAATAATGTATCTTATATTGGTTGGAAATATGAACCAACTGATTCAGAGCAATTACATAGGCAAATATATATGCAATTTCATCCTGATAAAAGAAAAACTTTATTAGATGCTAAAAAAATATTTAAAGAAGATAATTCTTTAATATTTTAATGAAAATTAAATGGTACTTTAATTCAAAATAGAGCATATATGCTAAAGCCTTACGATCGTTGTAAGAAGCATTCAGATTGTTATTGTGATTATTATGATATTAATCACAAATATGATAAATGTGATTCAACATGTGAACGAAAAAATGCATTTTGGGGTCGAGATACTTTACTAAAAGAAATTACTGGTCCATTTGAATTTGGCAAATTTAGAGAAATTGAAAAGAAATATACTAAAAAAAGAAAACAAGATATAAATGAATTAAAAGCTAATAAACATTCTAGCAGAATAGATAGTAATGAAATATTGTTAGATAATAAAACTTCTTTTAAAATTTTTAAAGAAAATAAAGACAAAATACTATATTATAAGAATTATGAAATGATGACAAGAATTTATCAAGATTTACAAAAAGAAAAAAAGAAAGAAAAAGGAAATAGATTTTATCGGTCTTTGACTTTCTATTTTTATAGACCTACAGGTTCAGAAAAATCTGGTTTAGTTACTGAATTATTTTTTAAAGATAAAGGAGAATTATATCTAATAAACTAACAAAACAACAAAATAATTAGTAGAATAGATATAAAGGTCAACAAGTGGTTCTTCTTGATAAGTTTTATACAAAGATTAATTAGAATGATATGATAAATATGTTGAATAATACACCATATGATGTGGAAATAAAACACAAAAGTTTTGAACCTTTTTTATCAAAATATATATTTTTAACAGCTAAAAAACTGCCTCAAGATATATATAATTTTGGTCAATATAAAGAAGAGCTTAATCAACGTGATTGGCCACAGTTTGAAAGACGTTTAGATTATATTATTGAGTTTACTAGTAGTTGAAATGAAGATATAGAAAAAAGAACAACACAAATTATATTTCATAAAGGTTCTGAAGAAAAATTCAAAAATATGTGTTGGGAAATTAAATATCGAAATGGTGAAAATTCACTTGAAGAAATAATTGAAAGGAGTGTTACAGTATTGTGGCCTTCTTAACAGCAGTACTATAACAATGACATGGCTATAGGGATCCTTTACAGGTTTATAGCAGTGTCTAACAGGTAAGTATAATTTCTACTACAACTAGAAACTATACCCTTCTGTTTGTAGCAGTTCGGGCAGATAATAGTTTATAGATAAAATATATGTTTTATTAGAGAAAATAAGATAGGCTATCCT